CTGATCTTGTCTGGGCCAGGTGCTCTTCATTTCTTTACCAACGAGATGCTGTGTTGAATTTCAGAAGGGAGAACATTGGGAACGACATATCCATCATGTGGAATGTGGTATGTGGGCAAGTGGACGTGGCTATTAAAGAGATCTGAGTAGAAGTCATGAATAATCTTCTCCATTGCCCTTCTGGATGATGTGATAGATCCATCAGGATGTCGGAGGGCAGTCATCTTGGTCTTGTAGTTGGTGAAGGACATGCGGGCATTACGAATGCTTTTCCCGGCTTCTGCCACATCTACCAGCACCGCTATTCTCCTGTCTTTGAGGTCATCCTTCATGGTTTCTCTGCAGTTTTGACAGCTCGGACATTCGCTTGCAGTTGCCTGAGGCATGTGCCAAGCCACACTGGCGAATAAATTCAAGAGTGTTCGAAGAAAGGTGGTTTTTTGTGGTTATCTCTCTCTTGGCATTCCTCGCACAATCATGGAGGTGCTGAATCATTCGATCGTATTCCTCATCAATGTTGTCAATGACGGCATCTTCCCATGTTGCCGCAACAGAGCCAAAGAGCTTCCAGTTTGTGGTCATTCTGGTAGTTCTCTTCTTAAACTTTGCATTCTTTTCTCCTCGTTCTGTGAGGTAGAATTCTGCACGAAGGAGACGGTGGTCTGATCCCGTTTGGAATTTTGGGACAACAGCAACATTGGTTAGGCAAAACCGCCAATTGAATATGATGTGGTCTATTTCATTGTGGAACCGTCCACCAGGAGTCTCCCATGTCCAACGTTTAGATTCAGCCTTTTGGAATTGTGAGTTACCATGGAAGGTCTTGGCTGACATGATGAACTCAGTCTGTCACCCTGTTCATTCCATTCTAGGCAATGGGTCACGATGTGGAGTTCATTGGCTGATCCTCTTGGTCCTATCTTGGCATTAAAATCACCGACAATGATCTTGTAGAAGATGTGATCTTCTTTACAGAATTTCTCCAGCTCCATGTAGAACTTCTCAATTTCTCTTTTACCATAATTGGATGTTGGTGCATAAACAACAAAGATAGAAACTGCCGGCAGTGAGCCACATCTATTCAAGTGTAATCGTCCGATTCGGGTTGTTAGGCATTTGAATGAATCAATGCTCATGGCTAAGTTCGTGCTGACAAGTATACCGACACCACCAACACCTCTTCTGTCACATGTTTCAAGGAACAGTTCTTCTCCAGTGTCGAAAACGGCATGATGTGATTGATGTCTTCTCGTTTCGGTCAGACCAATGATATACGATATATATATACCCTCAAATATACGATCATTTAATCTTTGATAAGGGAGCAACAAATGTGAAGTGGGGCAAAGAAAGCCTCTTTAACAAATGGTGCTGGCAAAACTGGACACCTACATGTAAAAAAATGGGCTCAGACCTTTACCTAACACTGTGCACAAAAGTCAGATCAAAATGGATTAAAGACGCTGACATCAGACCAGAATCCATAAGGTACATTGGAGAAAAGATCAGCTAAACCTTCATGACACTGAAGCTAAAAGGATCTTCAAAGACGAAACGCCACCGACCAAGCAAGCAGAAACAGAGATAAACAAGTGGGACTATCTTAAACTAAGAAGCTTCTGCAACTCAAAAGAAACAGTGACCAGAATACAAAACAGTCTACAGAATGGGAAATTATATTCACCCAATACCCTTCTGGGTTAATATCAAGGATATACAAGGCACTGGTTGAACTCTACAAGAAAAAACATCCAATCACATCAGAAAATGAGGAGATGAAATGAACAGAAACTTTCTCAAAGAAGAAATCCGAATGGGCAAAAGGCACATGATAAAATGCTCTTCATCACTAATCATCAGGGAGATGCAGATCAAAACAATCATGAGATATCATCTCATACCACAGAGACTGGCACACATCCAAAAGGACTAAAGCAACCAGTGTTGGCATGGATGTGGGGAGAAGAGGACTCTCCTTCACTGTGGTGGGAATGCCAAATGATTCAGCCTTTTTGGAAAACAATATAGATGTTTCTCAAAAAACTAGAAGTTGAGCTCCCATTTAACCCAGCAATAGCACTTCTGGGTATATATTCTGGAGATGCAAAAATATACAGTAGAAATGACATCTGCACTTGTATGTTTATTGCAGCACTATTTACAATAGCCAGAATCTGGAAAAAACCCGAGTACCTGAGAACAATGAATGGTTAAAGAAACTTTGGTACATCTACACACTGGAATACTATGCAGCTGTTCAAAAAAATGAAACCATGAAATGTGCATATAAGTGGATAGACATGGAGAGTATCATGCTAAGTGAAATGATCAACATTTGGAAACTGAATGACACACTAGTAAATAAAAACTGGATCAAAAAGGAAAACAAAGAATAAAAATATTCCATGGGGTCTGGGGAAATAGTAAAGTAGGCAAGGTGCCTGTTTTACAAGCAGTCAACCCAAGTTCAACCCCAATACTTAATATGGTCCCTTGAGAACTAACAGGAGTTATCCTTGAGGACTTCCAGGGGTAGCCCCAAATTCAAAATGAGAAATGACACCATGAAACAAATGAGAATAAAAACACAGAGCCATGGGCATAGTTCAAGGCAGTACAAGCTTCAGGAAAGAAGAAAAAGCTCAAATCAATTACCTGACTTCACAGCCTGAGAAACTAGAAAAAGAACAATAAATGAATCCCAATATAAGCAGAAGACAGGAAATACCAAAAACAAAGAGCAGAAATCAATAAAACAATACAAAGAGTCAACAAAACTAGAGACTTGTCTTCTAAAAGAATAAACAAGATTGACAAAACCTTCTTCTCACAAAGAAAAAAAGAGAGAGAAAATCCAAACAAATCAGGTTGGAGATGATAGAGAAGGAATTGCAAAAGACATCTCAGAAATACAAAAGCTCATAAGAAATAGCTAATTTTCAACACAAAAGTTGAGGACATGAAATAAAGTAAAGATGGCCACCTCAGCAAATGGTGCAGGTAAAACTGGAAAACCACATGTAAAAAATTAAAGCTGGCTCCAGATGTCATACTTTACAGAAAACTCAACTCAAAGTCGGCATGGTCTTCAAGCCCATATTCTCCGTGGAACAAGAATCTAACTGTTGTCTCTCTGTTTCTTTGTTTGCCTCTTTCCACTCTGGTGAAGCCTGTGTTCTCTCGACACACACTTCTCCCTTTCTCTCCACTCTCCATCACTATCACTGTCACTGTTACTGTCACTGTCACTGTCCTCCCATTGTTCATCAATTTGCTCACGCGGATCCAGAAACATTGTCAGACTTGTTACTGTGTTTGGCATATCAAATACGTCACAGGTAGCTTGCCAGGCTTTGGCGTGCAGGCAAGATACTCTCAGTAGTTTGCTGGGCTCTCCAAGATACATTTCTAAATAAGTTTCAATAAAAACTATCTTGCTTTAACAAAAGTCAACTCAAAGTGGATCAGAGACTGAGAGGCAACAGATGCTTTCCAACCCAAAGGGACAGTTCTTATAGTGTCTCTACAGAGAAAGGGAAAATGGACTAAAGAAATGGGAAAGAGGTCTGAGCACCACCACAGAAAGATACCCAAAGACCTTCTCTGCACCCCTACAAAGACCAGATGAAATGTCTGCTAATACATTCCTTGAGAATTAACTCCACTCTTTTCCAAAATGTGTTTCAAGCTATTGTGGCTGTGAGGAAAGTCTGGATTCTGTTCTCTTCAGTTAAAGGAGGTTTCAAGAACACAAACAGTATCATTTACCTATAAAGTAAATGATGACAAATATTAGGAGTGAAACCAAGTAAGAACAATTCCCAAAGAAGAGATTCATATTGTGACTTCAGGAAAGTATTCTACAAATGAAAAGGAATATTTCTCACATTTTCAAGTCTGAACTCTGACACAGAAACAATTCCTTTTCTGACCAATGCTCAGTGCTGGATCATACAAAAATCAAATCCACCTTGAGATCCTTAATCTTGATATCTTGCCCCCTCCTGACAAAGCAGATGTTTTTACAAAGAGAAGAATCTGTGTTAGTAAGAGCATGCCATTCTCGTCAGTGACTAGTCATGGGTTTCTACACTGAAGAAAGGAAGGTACAATCAGCCCTGCTTTCCCCCAGTAAGGCTAAAACCGAAGACGCTAATGAATTCTGACTTTTCCCTGTATAAACATGACTAAGATCAAGTTTAATTTATAAAGTAGGCACAGTAAGAGAGTAATAACAGTTCAATAGTTATATAACTTGTGCTGTTACATAAATATGGTCTTCCTCAAATTTATTGTATATAATACTTTCAGACAATGCTTTCAGTAACCACAGAAATTGTAAATAGAGGACAAATGCTGATGTTCATATCCAAACACACTTTAATAAACAAGAAAGTGCTGTCTTGCAATTATAAAAAAAAACTTTTAAACACATAAAAAGTTTAGATATATTCAGTAGCAAGAAGTCACTTGTCTATTTTGTGCAGGATTCTATTTTTTTCTAACTCAACACTAACATTCTTGGAGTGCGGAAGATAGCTCAAAACAGAAAATTGTGTGCTTGCACGAGCAGAAGATTCCGAGTTCCATCCCCATACAACAGTATGCTGCACTCATGCACTGCTGAGCATCCAGGCCCCTCATCACCTCTGGAGAATCCCACAACCCACTAAAAGCACTGTTGAACTCCCTGCTCTCTGTTAGGGATAGCATCTCTCTCATCTCCTCCCATTCTGAGATATTTGAGAGCAAATTATTATTCTGCTTTCAGATACAAGCATCAAACACAAGTTCTAACACAGAGTAGATAGGCATTTGTAGAAAGAAAGAAGTCAATGCCAAGAGCCAATGTTCCCTTTTGTTATCGTTGCAACAGTTGCAGTAAGCCCACCTGGTATTCATGGGCATATATGAATGCTTAAAGTGTCACCTCCCCTTGGGAGAACCTAAAGTATACAAACTGACTCAGAACAGACAGTGGGAAGCAGAGCAGGCCTTGCCTTCTCGTCCTGGTATAACTTGTTGACACTCTCCATCTGAAAGTTGTGGCTGGACTGGATTTTGTCGAGCTGCTCCCGTTGCTTCTCCAGCTCTCCTTGGAACTCATTTTTCTTCAGCTCTACAGCGCCCCTCTCTGCAGCCGCCCTTCGGACTCTGCCTTCTAGCTCCATGATTCGGGTCTGCAAATAAACACAAGGTAAGAAAGAGCACGCCATGGCAACAGGGGAGATCAAAACCCGGCACCTCCAGCCACAGCCAACAATGGAGCTAATGGCTTCACAAAGCCGCAAACACAGTCTTTTCCCCAGGCACAATCCTTTGAGTCCACCATGAAGAAGAGACCATGGGTTGTTTGTTATTTTTTTATCTTCAAGAGAAAGGATTGTGCAATAAGAGAAGAATTCACTTTTCTGAGTTTCTGCAACTCCCCTGCAAAGTGGAAATACTGGCACCCCTCCCCAGGATTCTGTGAGGCTTATGTGAAGAAAGGTCATAAAATGTTATGTGCTGGGGCTGGAGTGACAGCACAGCGGATAGGGCATTTGCCTTACATGTGGCCGACACACATTCGATTCCCAGCATCCCATATGGTCCCTCGAGCACCTCCAGGGGTAATTCCTGAGTGAAGACCCAGGAGTAACCCCTGTGAATCACCAGGTGTGACCCAAAAAGCAAAAATAAAACAAACAAAAAAAATGTTATGTGCTGGTGCTAAGATAGCTTTAAAATTTTCTCACAGACACCTGAAACCAATCTATCAGACAGAATTTCTAAAGATAGATTCAGTTCCCTGACTCTTGACAGGAAGTCCATACTGTGCAGAAATCAGGGACCCTAGAAGCAGGTCAGACACAGAGATGTACATCATAGCAGGTAAGAGGGCTCAGGTGGGTGCACATGGGTTGATGTAGATATTCACAGGGGCTCACATTCTCAGGGGTTACACACCCCACCTCTAAAGAAAGCTTGCTTGCAGAGACAGCATAGCTGGGAGGAGGCCTGCCTTGCACATGGCAACCTAGGTTCAATCCCTGAAATCCCATATGGTCTCCCAATTTTCACCAGGAGTGATTCTTAAGTTCAAAGCCAAGAGTAACCTCTGAGCAGTCAGGTATGGTTAAAAAAAAAAAAAAAAAAGGAGGAGGAGGAGAAGGAAAAGGAAAAGGAGAAGAAGGAGGAGAGAGAGGGTAGGAGGAGAAGGAGAAAGAGGAGAAGACGAAGACGAAGATGACAGCGAAGAAGACAATGACAAAGAAGACGATGTCGAATAAGACAAGGAAGAAGAGGAGGAGGAGGAGGAGGAGAAAATACAAAGAGAAGTTGAAAGGAATTCAACATCTAGGTCAGAGGTTTGTAAGCCTAGCCATCCAAAATGGGATTCTAAAAGGCCATTCCTTGGTCCTGGTAAAAGTGGAAATCATAAAACAATGATTTATGATACAATAAAATGATACAATGTCAAGTAAAAACAAAATATAAAAGTATCTCTACACTGATACAAAATTATCTCTGCTTTGATTTTAACACTGTTAACTTAAAAACAAACTAGGAAAGTAAAAGGAAAACAATGATGAGTCAGTGTAAAGCAAATCTGAATAAATTCTTCTACTTGCTATCCTTTATTGTTGCAATAATGTTTGATGACAGACAACAGAAAGCAAACAAGAAAGGGTAAATCAAATCCCAGCTCCCCTACAGCTAACCTCTCTATAAGTCATTTGGCCCGCCTATAAGTTGAAGAAAATAAAGTTTCAATTTGGTAGCAAAAATAATGCATGTAAAAGAAGAAAAGTATCCCGGTACATGTAACAATGGTGTTTAAATATTAGTAAAATGGTAATAAAACACTTTATTCAAGGTTATTCCATCAAGACAGCAACTACCAAAGCAGTGAAATTCCTCAGCTCAAAGTACAGCCCAAACAGTAGAAGGTCTACGGTCAAGAGGTTCTCTGGAAAATGGATTCTCCAAAAGGAGAGAAAAGAGGGGTTGTGAGGGGTGGAGCGACAGCACAGCAGGTAGGGCATTTGCCTTGCATGCGGCCAACCTGCATTCGATTCCCAGCATCCCACCTGGTCCCCTGAGCACCACCAGGAATAATTCCTGAGTGCAGAGTCAGGAGTATACACTGTGCATCACCGAGCGTTACCCAAAAAGAAAAGAAAAAACAAAAACAAAAAAAATAAAGAGGGGTAGGGAAATTCTTGTTAAGCTAGTCAAACAATACTGTTGTAATGACAGGCCAGGAGCACCAAAAGTGAAGGCTGAGCAGTATGAGCTGTAGGATGACTTGCAAACCCTCACACAGGTCAAGCACAAAATGGGGGACTGCTGTCATGGCCTTGTGGAAAAGGGCTAAAAGGCATCTACAAACATCTTTCTCACACCCATTATCCAAACTTATGTCCATCTCCACTTTTGATTTCTAGTGTGGGCATGGAAAAAAGGAATGGATTATGGTAGTGTCCTTAAGCAAACCATCTTCCCTGCAGTCGGGAGGGTACCACTGAAAATTTCATTCACAGGGAAAGTAGAACGGAGGGATGCATGCAGCCATCCAGGGATCACAACGAGCCCTCATCAGTGAGAGCAGACCTGGTGTGTGTGTGTGTGTGTGTGTGTGTGTGAGATGTGTGTGTATGCCTGTGTGTGTGTGTGTGAGAGAGAGAGAGTATGCAGTGGAAGAGCAGGCAAGAGGCATTATAGCTAGCACACACCAGTGAGTCTGAAGTTGGAAGAAGAATGCACACACACCCTGCCCCATAGCACCCCCACAGCACTTTAACTGCTTTGAGATACTCAGACACTGAGAGACCTGGAGGTCCACGCTCCGGGAGCTTGCGATCCAGTAGTTGAAGCCAAGGACGATGATACAGGCCACCAGGGCAGCCAGCACCAGGGGTGGCGACTTCATGCTGCGGCGCCCATTCCCCAGTCCCATCATCTCAGAGGCAGGCGAGAACCTGCCAGAAAGAAACAGAATGAAAATCTCCCTCTTGTTACGTCAGTCCTGAAGAAGGCAGCAACAGCACTCACACCCAGGGAGCACGGGGTACTTTCTCTGCTGAAGAAAGGGGGTAAGCATGCAGACAGAACACCCAGGGCCCTGCAGCACCAGGTGACGTGGCAGACGTGGCTGCGTCTGCCACGTACTGGCTCACAACCTCAGCAGGAAACAATCCCTGAGCTTGATTTTCTATCTGTAATTTGGCAGATGGAATACTTACCTCCCTCATATTGTGCAAGAGTAAATAGTGTATCCACATCACCCTAGGAAGAATTTCCTTATTATGCCAAAGGCCCTTTTTCACAAGGTCTCTAACAGGGGAGGGCATTCTTTTCTTGGGCACAATTTCTGATGACACCAGACCCTGCAGTGTTTCTTCAGTGAAGCAGCAGAGTACCCTGAAAATGCATCTATTTCTCCTGGGCAAATAAACAGTGAGGGAAAACAGCTTTCTGCTCTGCTTTTGAAGAACACTGGTCTCTCGCACTGCAGAGCCCAGGTCTGAGCAACTACAGTGCCATGCCATGCAGCACCCACTCTCAGAGTGACAGAGAACAGCAAGCACCTCCAAAGAAGCACCACTACAGCTTCAAAGAAACACACAATCAGCTGTATTTAGGCACTCCAACTCAAAACCGTATCTGACTGAAGACATGCCCTGGCTGATAAAGAGAGGAAATGTTGACTTTTCCCTGGGGCTTTTGTTGAGAAAACAGGACCTTATCAGCAAGGGGGCAGGGTGTGCAATAAATGGTTTCTTCAAGAACAGGAGCACCTTTATGCTAAATGTGCCAAACAAGGAGTGGTGAGGAGTTGGGGGGAGGAGAGGTACTTGGGAGAGAGGATGCGAAGGAAAAGAAAACTATCAGGAATTCACCTTCAAGGCATTAGTCAGTGAGGTCATGCTCCCACCTACAAGGTTTCTAAATGAATCACTGGTCAGAGATCATTGGTGTGGGAGCCTAGAGAGGGAATAGTAAACATTAATGCTAAATCTCGTAAAATAGAGCACTACCAGGGGTATGGTGCCGCCAGCAAGTCAATCTGTACCTGTGAGGCGAGTGCATCAGTAGCCTGATGGCGCCTTCAGACTTCCAGATACCCCAAAATTGCTGCTGTGCCTTTGGCCAGACCCCAAAAACTTGGGGCAAAGTTTACCAAGAAAGCAAACGGCCAAAAGTTAGGTATGTGGAAACACACCCACAAACCACCTCCGGCTCAGCTATATAATTGGAGGCATAGCCTCTCTGGTTCCTGATTGAACTGTTTAATGGTCATGATCCCAGAGACTCAGAAACAAATCTCGAAATCCAGCGGCTTTTGGCAGAAATGCATCCGGTCCCTGCAGTAGGTTACCGGTGCTGGGCTAACCCAGGTGGAAATAGGTTTCATGCCTTGGCCTATTTCCCACGGTGGCCCAGTGGCCGTCATCCTTCAGAGGCCACTGGACAGTCAGGTTTGGGCCCCCAGTGACGAGATACGCAGGGTCTCACGGAATGGGGGTGGAGCCGGTCCTGTCCTCCCCACCCCAACGAGACCCCAAGTCATCGCCCACAAACGGCCTCTCTGGCTCCTGATCAAGCTGCTTAATGGCCATGATCCCAGAGACTCAGAAACAAATCTCAAAACCCAGTGGCTTTTGGCAGAAATGTGTCCGGACCCCACAGTATGTTACTGTCACCGGGCCACCCCAGGGAGGAAAGGGTGTTGTCCCTCCGCCTGCTCCCCCTTGGCAGCTCAGTGGCCATCATCCTCCAGAGGCCATTGGACAGGTCTGGGCCTGCAGTGACGAGAATTTTGGGCCTCATGGGATGGGGATGGAGCCGGGCCTGTCCTCCCCACCCCAACGAGACCCCAAGTCATCGCCCACAAACGGCCTCTCTGGCTCCTGATCAAGCTGCTTAACGGCCATGATCCCACAGACTCAGAAACAAATCTCAAAACCCAGCAGCTTTTGGCAGAAATGCGTTCTGACCCCGCAGTAGGTTACTGTCACCAGGCCACTCCAGGAGATAAAGGGTGTTGTCCCTCCCTTGGCGGCTCAGTGGCCATCATCCTCCAGGGGCCATTGGACAGTCAGGTCTGGGCCCGCAGTGACGAAACTTGTTTTGGACCTCACAGGATGGGGGTGGAGCCGGTCCTGGTCTCTCCGTCCCAACAAGACCCCAAGTCATCACCCACGAATGGCCTCTCTGGCTCCTGATCAAGCTGCTCAACGGCCATGATCCCAGAGACTCAGGAGCAAATCTCGAAACCCAGTGGCTTTTGGCAGAAATCCCTCCAAATTTAAGTGTTAAAATTTCGGAATTTCAAAATCACATGGCCCTACTGCAGCCATGCGACATCATGTGATATTCATAACCAGCAATGGAACACAAATTGTTTACTTTTGCTTTTTCAGCAGATCTGAGTGTTGGGGTAAAATCTCAAATAATAATGGTGGGTCTGGTGTCGAAATATTGAATGTGATCAAAGTAGAGAGAGAGTAATGTGGAAATCATCTGCCCACAGGTAGGGGGAGGGTGTGGGATGGGGGTATACTGGGGTTGTTGGGGGTGGAGAATGGGCACCGGTGAAGGTACGGGTGTTTCATTGTATGACCGAGACTTAGACCCAAAAGCTTTGTAACTGCTCTCATGGTAATTCAATAAATAAAATTATAAAAAATGAAAAAAAAAATAGAGCACTACCAGAATCCCCATGCCTAGTAGTGATGGCTGAGTTCAATTCCTCCTGGGATCTTCCCTACTAGTTTCTGGCCTCTCAGGAATAAATGTTCATAATTCCACCATGTGTGGGTATAAGTAAGTGTTGGACAAACTGAAGGAAAGGAAAAATGAGAAATACTAAACTTCCAGAAGAATCTATAGATTTCTGAAAATGTATCTCCACTGCCTTGTCATGTGTGACTTTGATTAAAGGAGTTCTTTTTCACTTACTGGAACTTCTTAAATATATAAGCACAAATACAATCAGGGAGGAAAAACTAAACACGATGTAAAAGAATGTGAAATTAATGGTTTTATTCTTCACTCCAGGTGCACTCACCCACCAAAGGACATCATAATCACTGGGGTATCCTAAAAATATTAGTATGTGAGTCCCACTCCTTCACGTTAATGTAATGGAATTACGGCAGGGCCCCAGGTATTGGTGTTTTACGATCTGTCCAAATGAAAAGTTTAACAACCTTGCAAATGTCAGGATACATCTTTGGGAGGGGGTAGGATTAGTCCACAACCAGTAGTGCTTAGGGGCTATCCCTGGCTCTGTACTCAGGAGTGACCTTTGGCAGTAGTGTACAGGATCTGAACCAGAGCTGCAGCTGCATATAAAGCTGCATATAAAGCTGCTTTATCTGCAGCTCCTGCATTGCTTCCAGATGCATGTACAAATCCAAATATGGTCACCACGCTGTTCTGTAATACCATACATCGCTATGTAATACATCTTATCAATCTCTTCCAAGATAGTGCATTATTTATAATTTACTCCATTAATTTAAAGGGATGAAAACGGCACTACCGTGTATCTGACTTATGTAATTGATCTTTTACTGAGGACCATTCAGAGTTTTCTGGGCTTATTTCTAACAATGTTATCACCACTTTATATATCCACCCCTGATTTGCAAACATTCATCCATTTATTTGTCTGTTTCATGTCCACAATTCTGCAATCTCCTAGACTCTAAAAACCCAAGGGAGTTTTAAAAACTCATCCATCAATAACAATATGGAACTGAATTTAAATTAAGGTATGACCAGAACTCACCCAAAATCACTTAATCTGTTTTATCTTTCTTTTTTAAAAATGTCAATATTCATAATTTTGCTGTTGTGGGATGCTGCCACAGATCTTCCTGGGGTGGTCACACAATATATAGAGAACAACTCTATTTTATAGTTTTCTGAATTTTGAAAAAAAATCCTTAAATCTAAATGCATCTGAGCTTAAGGGATTTGAGGAACAGTGAATGAGCCACTCCTATTGAGCCATTGCTCAAGCACTATAAAGGTTTTCTGAACCATCTCAACACCTCTGACGTGATAGTATCATCCCCATTCTACAGGTGATAAAATAAATCATGGAGAGCTCAGGAAACATTCCTATAATGGAATAGCTGGGCCCATAAGTATAACTGATAGATGATCTTACTGCCTCCAAAACATTCAGCAAATTACTAAGGAAATTGAGTGCCTTTACAATCAGATTCCTGGAAGTTATGACCTTAACCTAATCAAGGAGAACATCAGTAATGAACTTACATCCCACCACACCTCACATAGTGCATTAATTATAATTTACTCCATTCATTTAAAATGATGAAAAGGGCACTACCATGTATCTGATTTATATAACTGATATATACATAACTGATCTTTTATATCTTTTATAAGGGCTACCTCTGTTATACACTCTATTTTCTAGGAATATATTTTTAGATGGGAGCCTTTTTAAAAAAAAATATTTTTTATTGAATCATCATGAGATAGTTATATGCTTTCATGTTTGGGTTACAATCACACAATGATCAAACACCCATCCCTCCACCAGTGCACATTACCCACCACCAATATCCTCGGTATACCCCCCCTTTCCCACCCTCCCCCTGCCTCCATGGCATACAATATTCCCCATACCCTCTCTCTACTTTCGGGCATTATGATTTGCAATACAGACACTGAGAGGTTATCATGTTTGGTCCTTTATCTACTTTCTGCACACATCTCCCATCCTGACTGGTTCCTCAAGCCACTAGATGAGAACCCTGCATGACCAATTGTTATTCCAGCAGACATAAGTTGGCAGGTGGGTGTACTAAAAATTTGAAAACAAAATCAACTCAGTTCTCACTAGAAGGGAAGTATACTGGTGATTGTTTTTTTCACTAATAAAAATTAAAAGAATAAAATAAAATAAAATGAGTCAACCAAGTCAGTTAAGCTTTGAAAC